CAATGATCGCGTGCAAAAACGAATTCTTTCGGTGCGATATTACTGATTTTTTTACGGTCGAATTACCCTTGTTGCAGCTTTCCCCAGAGTGTTCAGTGTAGTCGCAAACGCTTTGAGGATGATTGATTCCTTTTTAAAAATAATTTGCCGTGGTTTCACTCTTTCAGCACAGCTGCATTGCAGCAAAGCTCTTTCATTTTGAACCAAGATTCTTTGTAATCAGAAATTCAAATGCAGCGAAAAGCCTTCATGCCTCCTTTTGTGTTTCGTGGGCTCAAATCAAATGGTTTTCGTGACCTTTTCTATACCTTTAAATTTTATAGTTGTCTTAGTTTTACGATATGGTGAGTTTAACTTATTTTAGGTGCTTCAAGAACAGTTTGGACCTGAAGAAGATTTGAGTGATAAGGAGGATCTCCAGCAAATTCGTCTTGAAATCGAAAAAGCAAAACTTCGCTTAACAACGCATCCTACTGCTATGATCAATCTTGATTTGAAAGGTGTGGGGAAGTGGAATTACGAGGTTTGTAAACGCTCATATGCATCTTTCTTCTCTGAATTCCGGAAGTTTTATGAGATCTATGAATGTGATCCTTGGTTATTTGCATGAAAACAAATTTGTCCGCTGATCTTTTTTCAAATGTGTACTAGTGGTGATTAGCTTTATGAATTTTTCATTCTAGTTGCGCCGTGACGAGTTCGAGCGATTAAACGAGGATCTCTTCAAATCTATTGAAAAGCCTATTGAGGCGGCATTAGCTGATGCAAACTTGGAACCTTCTGAAGTGGATGAGATTGTTCTTGTTGGTGGTTCAACAAGGATACCAAAAGTGCGACAAATTGTTGGGCATTATTTTAAGTAAGTGGAAAACAACTCTTCAGTTGATTTATGTGTTCTTAAGAATTATTTTCAAATTCAAATCGACAATATTGTGAATACTTATCCAGGTATAGCCCAATCTTTCAGCAAACCACCTAATTTTGGTGTGGATCCCGAGTTGGCTGTTGTCGTTGGTGCTTCAGTTCAAGCGGGAGTCATTGGCGGCGGTTGGCCTTTGCAGGTGCGTTTTTCCCATCCTTCACACTTTTGGTATGTTTTTTCTAAAATAATTCATTTTTGTATTCCAAAGAAGAGCTCATTGGTTGGAACCCAATAGTGATGTTGAGCAACATATTAGTGAAAAATCTCATTCACTTCAGGTGGCAGCCATGGAACTATCCACCAAAAGGCGAAAACGACATTTTTATACCGAACAGCAAAAAGTGGACGAAAAAGAGCGAAGTATATAATGGTAAAACCATGACTGTAGTCT